TCGCCTTTCTTTTCAGGCGTGCCAGCCAGGTCTTAAAACTGAATCCTACAACAAAAAACGTCATCCTCCAGAACCAAGTCGCCGCAGAGACATCAAAATTTTCATTACTTGGTCCTAAATTCCTAAATTTCATCAGTGTGCTTTGTGCGCGCAAATTGTCACCGTCACTGGAATGATGGTTTGTAAAGAAAACATCCCCAAAATTTCACAAATGTCCTTATTTCAGGTCAGTGAACTATTCTAATCTACCAGAGATGTTGCTTGTATCCGCTCAAGCATCGAGAAAAAGCTGGGTCGCCCCTTGAGGCCGGGAACAACCCCCACCCCGCCCTGGAGCTGAAAGATGTTAACTCGAATCCCTCGGCCATGGAAAAAAAGCCGTTCATCCGCTAGGGATTCATACGCCCAGTCATTAACCCAGCCTTGCCCAACATGGCGCACTTTCCTGCGGCTCGCTGTGAATCCGGTAGCGGTTTAGATTGCAGCTTAGAGCTGGCTAGTTAGATGAAACCCGAACAGTTTTATATAGTTTCATGAAATATGGGGTAGGATCAAAACCTATGATTCCCTATGATTACCATGAAGGAATCAGCATCCACTAACCAGCTATGACCATCCGGGTTTCCCCGGGTTTCTTCCAACCCAAAGTCAATTTGTATTCCAAGGTGGTTCCCCAGTTCGTGAGCTAAGTTGGTTCAGAACTAGGAATATTTGGGGGTTTCGGTAGATACATGTATAGTTGATGTGGTTTTTAAACCAACAAACATAAGTGGGGGGCACCACATTGCATTTATTCCATTATATCGCTATTAAATCCCCGTTGTACCCACATAAGTCCCCACCAAATGGCTCTAACCCCTACAAACATAGCTGGTTCCATGGAATGCATAGGAACTCCACATGATGGGACCCCCATTCCCATAACCCTCCATACTTTTGGGGGTTCTAATGGGAGTAATATGTGCATGGGGGTAGCCAAGGGGGCCCTATAAATTTCACTTCTACCAGATGGTAAAACCGAAACCTGAGAAGAATCCCTAGTTTTCACCATGTTTCAAGATTGAATTGTCCATTTTCACCATGAAATCCCACAGATTTTCCACATTTTTCATGGTTTTTAAAGCCTTTTTTAAAACGCGACGTTTGCCTAGCTGGTGGGCACCGTGGCAGGACATCACTCTGATCGACACTCCCGGCGTTCTGTCGGGCCGCAAGCAGAGCATCGGTCGGGAGTACGACTTCGCGTCTCTGGGCGGAAGCGGCGGAGACGGGGAAGATGTCGTGTGGAATGGCGAAAGTTGACTCAGAAAAAGTTGATTGAAGAATATGGGTTTTAGACTGTTTTAGAATGTAGAATGTGTGTTGTACAGAATGTATGTATCTAGGGGGTCTGTGTGATTTTTGATGGTGTTGCATGGGTTTGTCGTGAGTCATGGGGAATTACACCCTTTGATATGGAGTTCTCCCACTCATGTTGAGATTTCCCATCAATGGAATTCCCCATAGCCATAAGGCAAAGGTGAGAGGGAGATTTCTGAATATATGGTGTATGTCAAGATAATTATTAAAATGAAGATGGTTTTTTTTACCCACCCATTGTGATCTTCGCATTTGTCCTGAAATGGGGGATACCCTCTTGGTTCAATGGGAAAATGAAAAAAAAGCGACTGAGCACCATATTTTCCGAAACCCAAACGCGAAAACTGCTGGAATGACAGAGCATCATGCAGCCCACAGTAAGCTGTTTGTTGGTTTGGAACATTTTTTATTTTCCCCAATAGTTGGGATGATGATCCAATCTGACTTTCATATTTTTCAGAGGGGTAGGTCAACCACCAACCAGTAAGTCTGAGGATAGACTGAAACCAACGATTTTGTATAGTGACCCAGAAAAAACATGTAGACCCTGACGGGGATTTGTAGCTTGGTCCCCAATGTTTGGTCCCCAATTTTGGTGCCTCATGGTGCCACCTTAAAATCAAACATGCTTTCGACGAGAGGCTCGTTTTCGAAATAAGATTGGGGCATTCCCCAATTTTGAGACAATTTCCTGGTTGGTGGTTTGGACCATGAATTTTATTGTCCATAATATATGGGATAATCCTTCCCATTGACGAACTCATATTTTTCAAGATGGTTATTGCACCACCAACCAGTTTCTTTACGCAATGAATGATACTTACCATATCACCATTTTTAATAGGTAAACCATCTATAAATGTGCCATCTATACCATGGCTATGTAACAAATTACCAGAGGGTAATAGTTTTGGAATTGTCCCAAAACTACTTCCTTTCAGGATTGTGACGCGGAGGATCACCCCACTGAACTGGCAAGTTCGGTTATCACCCATAAGTGTCAACCCTCAGGGGACTTACGATCACCAGGCTTACTGACCATTCACCATATAGATTTGGGATGATTATAGTTATGATTTACCTATAATCCATTATAATCCTACATATATATATATATACATGGGTTTATGGAGATTTTCCAATGCTTCTTAACTATTCTGTAGTTCACCAGTGACGATCTCTGGGATCCTCCCCCTTCCAAGGAAGATCAGCGCGTGGATGGCGGAGCGCGCCGACCTGGTGCTGCTGACGTCGCCCGACGGAGGGATTGAGGGATGATCGCCCGTTGTTGGTAGAACCAGGCTTCGTGGAAGCCCTAAATGACGGGAATAGTAATCCCAACTGACTTTCATATTTTTCAGAGGGGCAGGTCAACCAACAGCCAGTATATCATATATTAAATCCCATTAAATACCCTCTGGTTATGTAGGTTAAGATATTTGCCCAACATAAATCACCCAGTGATGTAGGTTAATATACAGAAAACCATGGAGCATATGGGTATTCAATAATCAAGACCCTACTGGTTATGTCAACAGTTTGCTATTGAAAATGGTGATTTAGTTCGTGGATTTACCCAGCTAGAAGATGGTGATGTTCCATAGTTGTTTGTTAACGTTTACCAGAGGGTAAGCCCTACTGGTTGTGTTTATCCTCTAAATTGAGGATATGATAGATTCATTTTTCATGTGGCAAAGACAGTGACAAGCGTCTACAATTTGCCAGAAATGTGTGGTCATTGGTCAAAAGTATCGACCCGAAAGAATCAACATAACTATGGAAAATCACCATGTTTAATGGGTAAATCCACTATTTCCATGGCCATTTTCAATAGCAAACTGTTGACATAACCAATTCTGCAAGTCCATGGGTGCCCCTTTTCTTGGACTCATCCGCATATCCCAATCTTTGTTGGATCAGCCTCATTTTTTCTTCTATTTCTATGGCAATGTTCAATAGCTATTTCTATGTTTACCAGAGGGCAAATCTCATGGATATTCAGGGGAGGCAGATGTCCCCCTTGGCCCAGGTTTGATGCACATAAACTGGACATCTCTGACGAGTTTCAACAGGTCATGGAGGCGATGGCATGTTTTTTTTGCAGGGCAGTGGCAAGGCGTCAATCCCATGGTAATGGGAGAATTTCTGGGGATATAAATATACATATATATATATATGATTATATTTATATATACATATATATATATATATGATTATGTTTATATACATATATATATGATTATATTTATATACATATATATATATATGATTATATTTATATATACATATATATATATGATTTTATTTATGTACATATATATATGATTATATTTATATATACATATATATATGATTATATTTATATATACATATATATATATACACATATATATATATGATTATATTTATATATACATATATATATGGGATGTACTGGGTTAATACTGATAAACAAAGCACCAAGGTTTTGTCCAAAAATGGCTGCAGATCCCCCGGCGGAGTCCTCTGGTGATGACCTCTGTGGATCCAGCGCCGGGGTTTTCACTCAGTGGTGCCTCCCAGATGTAACGAATCTACTTATGACATTCACAGTTCGCCACGGAAAATCCCAACCATAAATGGAGGTTTATAGCTGGTAAAATCATCTATAAATAGAGGTTTAACCTAATAAACATACAAAAAACTATGGAAAATCACCATTTTTAAGTTAGGTAAACCCAGGTAAACCATCTATTTCGATTGGGGCCATTTTCGATGGCTATGTATGGCTATGTAACAAATAACCAGAGGGTAATTGGTATACTAAAGAGGTATAATCATCGTAACCGTAAAATTTGTGTATAATCGTAATGGTATAATCCTAAAATAAGATGATAATTGGTATACTAAAGATATGCAAGAGGTATAATCATCTATAGTCACTTAACCGTTTTCGTAAAATACGTAATTGTTTACAAATACATATACTTCTATCTCCACCCTTGCACTTTTTCAGGACCTGGTTTCAGGGTCGAGCATGTTTGGCCCCAGAAATGGAAAATTATCCTAATCCATTTTAGACCCTTGCACCTCTGGGGTTTCGGTGTTTTTCTTGGGATTTTTGCACCTGATCCCATGCTGATCCAGCCCGTTTGCTCGACACCGATGATAAGATACGATATGCACACCCAAAAAAGAATTTCCGGGCTTTCTAAGCTCTTGGTCAAAGTATGTCAAAGGAAGAAAAGGTTTCCTATATCTGGGGCACATTCCAGGGACAAGGGGGTGTAATTGTACTGGGTTATTTACCACAGATCTCCTGAAATGGTATTTGATAGGATATGTGATATGTGCATGTGTTTTCTGTCTAATTTTCATTGATTATAGTGTTTATGGATTGTTCACTGGTATATTACAGTAGCAATTGTTAAAGACAATAATGAGTTGCAATCACTATTGAATTGATTTCATTTGATAACAACAATGAACTGCAAATTGTGAAGTGGATTCATTTCATGGAAATTTCACTGGAAACCTATGAAAACCTCGAAATTTCGGAGTTTCCCTCTAGATTTCCCAAGCAATTCTGTGAGGCAAACATAAATTTTAGGATGGTCAGTGGAGTTAGTTCTGTACTTAATAAATGGGTTACAATCCGTTCTAACCGGGTTATATTAAATCCTATTAAATTCCATTCAATCCCATTCTTCCTGTCGGAGACACCAATGGTCAGGTCTTGAGGCCACACGCCAACAAGGTGCGCTGCGTCCTCAACAAGGCCCGCGGCTCCGCAGAACCAAAGTCGCAGGAGCAGCGCTGAGTCCCAAGAAGTTTTCCAGGAAAAAGCAACAACAAGGTGAGGCCCCCCCCCAGCTATAAGTGAGTTTAGAAACCCACTCACTATAACTGCTTGATGGTTTGGAACATGTTTTATTTGTCCATTCAGTTGGGAATGTCATCATCCCAACTGACGAACTCATATTTTTCAGAGGGGTAGGTATGCCACCAACCAGTATATGTGCTGGGTACGCCAGTTGTTCCGCCCCAACTTTTGGATTGGCGCAGCTTTTTGTGGCCTGTTTTTGTTGGGGGTTTCCATGGACTCGCACTGTCGATGCCCTTCCTGTTTTTATTTCAATGGCCATGCAACAGGAACCGATTGAGGACGGAGGTACCGATTCCATATATTTTTGGCCTATTTTTTAGGCCTAAATTTCAGGGGATATCCCCCCAATTTCTATGGCCTGAAATATGGTACTAACGTACCTCCAATTTAGGATCCTGGAGATCTCCCATTGATTATTGTTTGCTTTATTTCCCTCCACCTCCACCACGGAGATTGGAGAGATTGGAGTTCTTTGCCAAGACGGTATCTTTGGTGATGGTTATGACCCCTAAAATGAAAAGCCCATGACTGGAGACTTCACCCGTAAGATCTGGAGTTTTATGAGTATTGTGGATGAATACCTGGGGAAGGTTGGTGAAGGTAACTTAGACCAACAAGAGTGGAGAGTCGGAGAGTGACAAGGAAACAAATGGAACAACCCAATTTGGAGGAATCATGATCAGTCACAAGTGGATGCTGTATTCTTGCCTGGCCTGGCTGTTCATTTTGCCCACAGATATGGTGATGTATCCAAAAGTTGACGTTGACAAGGAGGCAAACCTTGGGGTAACCTCAACCAACGATGGAAAAAATTGGGAGCCAGTTAAGAGATATTATATGGGGCAGCCGCATGTTTTCCCAATGGAATTCTTCTCCAGAAGTCAAATCTGGCGCGGGAGAATCCAATATATCAATTCTTTGGCCGTCCTGAATTACTGAAACCCTCCACTTACCCTTTGGTAAATGCTATTAATGATTTCACCAACCATGGATAGAGGTTGAATGGGGATATGGGATTTCCAATGGTATGTCATACCCTCTGGTAAACGTTTACATAACTATGGAAAATCACCATGCTATGTAGCTGGGTAAATCAACGATTTCTATGGCCGCAAATGGGGTTTAATTACACCTCCATGTTTGTCTCCGATTTCTCGGGGAAAATTGGAATTCCTGGATCAACCAAAAGTTCTACGTGTTCCCTCAGTTTCAGACAACCCGTTATATACTGATAGTGGGATATATTATCTTTATATCTATGTACATATATATATAACCATTATAAATGGTATATCATAACTGCTTGGTGGTTTCAAACATGAATTTTATTTTTCCATAATATATGGGACAATCCTTCCCAATTGACGAACTCATATTTTTCAGAGGGGTAGGTCAACCACCAACCAGTATAATGTGTATTGTTGGTTATACATCCAATTATATCATATTAAGTCCTTATGAATATTTCATAGTGACCCTATTCATCTTGTCATTCTTTGATACATCCTCATCCAATTATATCAAATTATATCATATTAAATCCAACTAATTAAATCCCTCATACAATATATATATATATATATCATATATATCAAATATATCATATCATATATCATATGTTAAATTCCATTAAATACATCCCATGTTTCGTGAGTTTCCCGTGAAACCACCAGTTTGACTGTTTTAAGCGTCAGGCCGATCAGATCGATGCCTCCAATCTGGTGCGTGTCTATGGCGCCTTACTGTGGAACGTGGGGAAGGTGCCGCGTTTCGTTTTTTGGGCCCTGGAAGTGTAAACTCCATGAGTTTACCAATGATTAATGATGTTTAATGGTGATTATTATGATAATATATTATATTCATAGTTATTTATATATATATAGGTAAATTATAACGACCTCACTGTCCTCCCGAAGCCTGCAATCATGGTTTAGATATAGGGAATCATCCCAAAATGGCCGCAAGTTTCAGGTTAGTGAAATATTTTAATGGGCTAATTCTAATGAACGATTTCAACGACTTCACCTTGAGTGTTGGGTAGGAGTCCTAAACAAACATGTTAGGTGTGCGAAATACCGTCAAATGTCCATATCCAGTTCCAAAAAGTTGGCCGATGGACCCACCCAAAGGATGGTTCGAAAGGATTGCAGGGTGGATCTTTGTGGATACCAAACAGATGTCCTTAAAAAAGATCAGGGTATTTGATGTACAGATAACGGTGTCTTAACATGTTTGTGCCCAATAGCTAGCTAAGTTCACAAGTGGCTTATCTGGCG